TGACTGGACAGTGAGTGTGACTCCTGATGTGGCAGAAGTTAAACTTTATGATTCAATCCACTTATGTCCTTGATATGAAATATATGTTGATGATAGTCTTGCTTTTACCATTCGTGTATATTCTTGGCTTATTCCAGATGATCATTTAATATATAAAAAATATAAAAAACCAATACGACATATTTCAACTTCAAATCTTATTTCTATTGATACTTAACTTAGCCTGTGTTGTGGAATATTTTCATCTAAGAATGAGTATCCTTTAAATCAGACGTAGTATTTTTGATCTGAGTCATGTATTATGTTTATTGTGTTATGCTGTTCTTAATGCAAAAGCATTGAAAAAAAGAAGAAATCATAAGTTTGTAGAAAATGTTGCCAATGCTTCGATCCCTGCTAAAAAAATGCACCAATTAAAATTATATCTTCAGATTGTCTGAAGCTTACATTATAGAGTGTTCGTTTGGAAAATAAAGAACTAAAAAAAGAATTAGCTTTGATGAAGCAGGAGATTGAAAATTCATCACTCGCTATAAGTAAAGGTATTCAAAGTGATTTAGTTAAAACAATGGCAGGAGCTGATAAAAGCAAGATCTCTCCATTTAAGAGCCTGTTTTGGGAAGAGCAGCAAAAATATTTAAAAAGCTCAAAGCAAGGTATTCGCTGTCATCCAGCAATAATACGTTACTGTTTGGGATTAACTTCAAAATCATACTGCTAATGAAGCAGTACGATTAAACGAGAAAAATAATTCTGGTTTCTTTGTTTTACCAAGTCGTAGGCAATTGCGTGGCTATAAAATTATGTAAAGCCAAAGTTAGGATTTAATAAAAATTTAATCAAAGAATCAAAAGAAAAAGTTGAATATTGTTCAGCTCAAGAAAAGTTTATTGTTCTAGTTCTTGATGAAATGAAAATTCAAAAAAATCTTGTATGGGACAGACATTCTTGAGTATTAATTGATTCTGTTGATTTGGGCAATCCTGTTGTTAATTTTGCAACATTACAACAGGCAGACAAACCTGCTTCGCATGTATTAGTTTTCTTAATAAGAAGTATTGTAAATCCTTTCAAATACAGTTTTGCAAACTTTACTACTACAAATTTTACATCAGTGAAATTATTTTCTCTATTTCGGAAAGCTGTAAGCATTTTAGAAATCTTAGTTGGTTTAAAAGTAGTAGCAGTTACTTGTGATGGAGCATCATCGATTTAATTAAAACAGCAGAGAACAGCCTTTCTCATTCTGGAACTGGTAAAAGCAATCGTTTTATGTGGAATCAGGGTCAACATATTTTATCGTCTCATATAATTGATTTGTTATATGAGACCATAAAAAGCTAACCGTTGAGCACATCAAAATAACTCTATTTTCAGCTATGAATGTTCGTTTAGCTGCACAAGTTTTAAGTAATTCATGTAGTACTGCATTAGAAATCTATGCACCATCTGATACTGCTAGAACTGCACAGTTTTGCAAATATTATAATGATTTTTTTGATTGCTTAAATGTTCGTAATACAAATGATTGTATGTTAAAACGCAACTCATTTTTGAAACAATTTTCTGATACTAAGGATGTTTGATTTACATGGCTAAAAGATAATTTTTTAAAATACCTTACCGATTGGCTTTTTTCTATTGAATAAAGACCCGGAAATATTTTAAAAAGTGATAGAAGTAATATGTTTATTACTTGGCAAACCCATAAAAGTTTAAAGATCGCAGTTAATTCTGTTATTAAACTCGTCAAATTTTAAATTAATAACAATGTAAGTTATGTATTAACTGAAAGGTTTTTGTTAGGTTTTTTTAGAAAATTACTTCGGAAACAACGGTCACTTGGTAGAAGAAAAGATAATCCTTCCTTGTTTGATTTTGGATTTAATAATAATACTATTTAAAATCAACATATACTTCACCCAATTGCAGAATTTTAATGAATCAAACAAAATAACAATGGAGGAGAGTATGACACGTATACCACGCAGACTTACTCTGAAAAATCTATTGATAAAAAAAGTTGACTTTTCAAGTGATTTAATAAAAAAAAACTCTCTTTTGTCTCCTTTTATTGCTGAGAACAAATAAATGAATTTGCATAAAAACGGCTATTGTAGCCGTTATTATTATCATAGCCACAAATCTTTTTAAAAACATTAAGTGGCATAAAATATTGATCAGTTAATTGAGAAATTCATTGTTAAAAAAATAAATAAACAAATTTATTTTGCAGACTTCTTTTTTTAAATGTTTTACTTTTGTTACAATGTAAACAAGCACCTATGATGCTTTTTATAGGACCTATAACAATGATATTGTTTATGATTATTAAAGGTCATATAAAAGTTTAATTCTGGTGAGAATTTATTTAAAACGCATCTTTTTTCATAGGTACCACTGGATATATAAAAGTATATTTTTTTTAAAACCTGTCATTAGAACACCATACTTTTAAAAAACATTTCGTTGTTTGATATTAGATTATTAGTTGCTCAAATTCGGTTAAGAGACCTCTAAAATTTGAAAAAGCTCCCCAATTTTGCTATCCCTTCCTCTTATTGGGTGCCTGGGGGTGACTTGTGTGTGTAATGGTTAGATCACTTGCATTAGAAGCAATAGATCAGTGGTTCAATGCCTGCTCTTAGCATATTTACATTATCTATAATTTAACAAAAGCCTTTATTTGACACCTCTTCACTTAGGTGATTAGTGTCATAATTTAATCTTGACCAAATTAAGCTCGGAGCGGTTCTCTCTAATAAAACTCATTATTGCTCATATATATATATATATATATATATATATATATATATATATATAACTCATATATATATAAAACTCATATATATATATATATATATATATATATATATATATATATATATATATATATATATATATATATATATATATATATATATATATATATATATATATATATATATATATATATATATATATATATATATATATATATATATATATATATATATATATATATATATATGTATATATAGACATATATATATATATATATATATATATATATATATAAATATATATATATATATATATATATATATATATATATATATATATATATATATATATATATATATATATATATATATATATATATATATATATATATATATATATATATATATATATATATATATATATATATATACATATACATATATATACAGTCGTGTGCAGTAAAATAGTAGTGCGCATTTTATTTTTCTATTAACAAACTTTGACCATCAAAATATATTTTTCTATTGTTTGTTTTTTATCGTTATTGTTCATTAACTAAATGTTGTGATAAAAATACTATAAAAAAATTTAAGAAACATAATTGCAGCACTGTATGGTTTTAAATTTCAATATTATCGATTGAAGGTCATTCGTATTTTTTTTTAGACTGCAATAAAATAGTAGTTAAAATCATTTTTTATGAAAAGATCAAAAAATAATTAAATTTAATTACAAAAAAATTTCTTTTTTGAAGCGCTACATTAGTATTTTGTGGAATGACCTTTATTTGTAATAACCACCAAGCATTTTCGTTGCATGGAATTAATAAGATTTTGACATCGTTCGACAGATATATTTTGCCATTTTGACTGTACTACGTCCCACAATTGATTACAACCTCTTGGATTATTTTCAGAAACTGCTTGTTTTACATCATTTCACAAGTTTTCAATTCGATTGAAGTCGGGGGACTGTGCTGGCCACTCCATCATATCAATTTTGTTCTCATTAAGCCACGATTTGGCTAACTTGCTTGTATGTTTGGGATCATTATTTTTCTGGAACAAAAATTTTAACGGTACTTCTTCAGCATAAGGCAGCACAGTCTTTTCAAGTATTTTTACATATACAAACCGATCCATGATACCTTCTATCTGATGTATCGGCCCAAGACCATAGTAAGAAAAACAACCCCATATCATTATTTTTGAACCTCCATGTTTGACGGTCTTTAATGTGTGTTGTGGCTTATATGCTGCACCCGTTGATCTTCTAACATACTATTTATGAACATAAGAACCAAAAATTTCAACTTTGTTTTCATCAGTCCACAAAACATTTCAACATTTTTTCTTTAGGCCAAGAAGCATGCATTCGTGCAAATTTTAAACGATATGTCTTTTACTCAAAAGTAGCACTATTCTAAGTGTTCTTGCATTTAAATTGGCATGTGTTAATTGTCTTTGAATAGTTGAGGTGTTAACATTTAATTCTAGCCTTTCTTTTTTATTTTTTCTAGGAGTAATAAATGGCTCCTTTTTCGCTAACTATACAATTCGACGATCTTCTATAACGGTATTTGATGTTTTATTTCCACGTTATTCTGGTTTGGGTATCCATTTTAAAGCATTACAAATCATTGTTGGTAAGCATCCAACCAGTTCCTATATTTGCACACGATTGTATATATATATATATATATATATATATATATATATATATATATATATATATATATATATATATATATATATATATATATATATATATATATATATATATATATATATATATATATATATATATATATATATATATATATATATATATATATATATATATATATATATATATATATATATATATATTAACAATTTAAAATGTATTCTACAAAAAGAGTGCTCAAAGTTCTTAAAAGAACAGAGCAATTACAAATTAGTAGAAAATTACTTAGCAAAATTTTTTCTTATTTAACACTGTGTTTCATCAATAAAGACTCATCAGAAATCCATCCAAGTTTTCCATTTCTGATGAGTCTTTATTGATGAAACACAGTGTTAAATGAGAAAAAGTTTTGCTAAGTGATTTTTCATTCTCCAAAATAATTTGTAAAATGTAGTTACATTGTTTTTACTGCGAGGTCTATAATTGTGCAATAGTCTGCAACTATCGGAAATCAAGTTTATTTTTTAAAAAAAGATTTTTAAATTTTCATTTTAAATTATTCCGTTTTTTAGAAAAAATGCAACAATGAAGACTTTTGCAATGAATAGCTTAACCCGAATAAGAGATTAACAGTCACGCTTCACTAAGTTAAACGCGGTAACTTAGTTACAGTAATCGCGGTAAGTCTTAAAAAATGAGTTTTAATTTACAATCAAGATTTAGATGTCTTGCGCAGTGTTTGAAGATGCTGATTCATCTTTTGGCGAGGGTATTCCCATACCTCATAAAAATCTATCAAATCATCAACGACGTCAGCCAATTAAAGGTTACCAGAGTAATGTGCTTCAAATAAAAAGTGGAAGCTCGTTTCAAAATGAAAAAAGAAATAAAAAGCAAATTTCTAGCGTAGCTCAATGTGACAACTTTTTGGAACGCTGTTCAAAAGAAACTTCACGAACGATTGAAAGAAAAGGTTCAATTTCTTGTGCGACTAAAGATTTAGACCTCAGCAAATGCGAAATTGAATTATTGAGAAGAAAGAAAAAAGAAAATAAACATAACGAAGTCGAGAGCGATAATGAAAATTTTTATTTAAAATCAAATTGTTTCGTAAATAAAAAAGTTAGAAAAGTTACCCAAAAATATGGAGACGAGTTTGGAAAACTTGAAAAGGATATTGGAATAAAATCTATTAATAATAAAGAAACTTCAAAATCTCTTGAGATTTGTTCGAGTATTGATAACCATAATACTAAAAAGTTTAGAGACAAAAAGCAAGAAGCAATTCACCCAAAACCAATTTTACCAATGCCATTTTTAAATATAAGCGAGGATAACTTATCAAATAATTTAAATCAATTACCTAATGGAAATAAAAATCAATTATCTAGTGTAAATAAAAAAGAAAGAAACAGTAAAATTTCAAAAAAGGAATTAACAACTGAACATGGAGTTACTGGAAATGAATTATCGAAGAATAATAAAGAAATAAAGTATAAAACAATCAATCTTAAAACCGAACAATCGTCTTATGTAATTTCCCAAAACAAGTTTAACAAAAACTCCCCAGAAACAGATTCATTAGTAAGTCAAGTTACACCTGTTAACCAAGATAATCCATTTCCTAATCCTCTGGAAAACAAAGCAAAAATAAAGAAAGATTCACAAAACAAAATTCAGTTTCGAGAAAAAAAAGTGACTGAAATTGCATCGGAGCCAAACATATCTTCGAATAAAAATAACGGCGAAAGTCAAAGTGAAATACTAAGGTTGCAGCAAAAAATGAGTAAGCTTCAAAATAAAATTGCCTCAATGCAAAAGAAAGTTATTCGACTTCAAGGAAGTCTAAAGCAACAATAAAAAACAACAATATTTGGTAATGTGTGCGTATAATAAAAAACAACAATATTTGGTAATGTGTGCGTAATACGTATAAGCAACCCCTCCCCCCTCACTCACACACACACGAACACACACATATAATGGATTTTAGTAAAATAACTAATGGTATATATATATATATATATATATATATATATATATATATATATATATATATATATATATATATATATATATATATATATATATATATATATATATATATATATATATATATATATATATATATATATATATATATATATATGTATATATATATATATATATATACTAGTTAACATGTAAGTTATATGATATAATATATTTATTTAAAACTCATATCACCGTTTTTGTTAATTAACGAGTTTTTTAACGTTGTTTTTTTTTAAAATTATTTTTATTAAACCCGTTTTTGACCTTTAATGTTATTTAATTTGTTGTTAACTTTAATGTGCGGGTAAACTACCAAATAATATTAAAAATTATGATAAGTTTCTTTTTATTTGCTGGCTTTAAAAGCGATTACTTAAAACTAAAAAAAAAAACAGAATAATAAAAGAGATCGGTCATTGCAGATCGGATTGTGGCTGAGCCACAAACTACTTGATTTTACAGCAAAAGCTGACTAAATTATTGTTTTATTAAAAGCAATATGTTTTTATTATAAAGTAGTATGCCGTCAACACTCATAGCCCGTGGCTAGGTTGCTTTTTGCTTTGTGGTTGTACTTATTTCCCAGTCTTTTATGCCCAGCTATTTTCAAATGAGCCAAGCTCCTGTATTATTTTCTTCGTAAGTTGGTAATTATGGCGGATATGTTGTGAAAAAATACTGTTTCAAATTTTTCTCACATTCATAAAATAAAATGTTACAAAAAAATTTTTTTTACAAAACCAAATGGTTCAAATATCTCACCAGCTGATATTTCATCGTTAAACAATTACCTTGAAGAAGCTCTATTTTAAATGTTTATATATTATATTTTAAAATGGATCAAGGTTTTTGTAGCTTCAAGGTATATTTTTTTAACTATGTTTTCACGAATAATATTTAACTAAATCATTCTTAATTTTAGCTGATAAAGCATCTAATAGTGTAAATCTTAAACAGTAGTCTATTGTTATAAGGTATATAGACAATAACTATAATACTCGTAAAGATTTCGTAAGGTTTGTTGCCTGTCCTTAATTACTTAAATGTGCCCTTGGTCAAAAATTGCAGACATGTTTAAATAATTATTCTTCTGTTAGTAAAGCAAAGCTAATCAGTGTCTGTTGTAATTGTTGGGTTCAAAAAAGGAATAGTCTAGGTATATTTTTTTAGCAAAAGACTCTTCATAGTTAATGTTTGAACTTTGATAATGATATTTGAAAATAAATAATGATAATCACTCATCATCTGATTATTTTAAACTTTCTATCACTTAACCTCTACTGGACCATCTTGTTAATGATCTTATTAATTATATAAGATTTCAAACAGAATGCATGTTGGTTTATATGGGGCGTTTGCAGTTTCAACCACCATATTAAGTTACCTAAAAACTAACTAAGATTGGCAAATCTACCTTCAGGAATTTCTAGATATCTATCATTCCTATCTTTGCATCCAATCTTTATTCATGCAGAGTTGGATTGTAGAAGCCTCTTTAGAAAGATCAATCAACGCCCAAATGACTGGTTTCCCCAACATTCTTGAATTTTTTTAAATATTTAATTCTAGGTACAACACCTATAGAATAAAGACTTGTTCAAGAAGTAGAGTGTTAGAAAAGTGATTGAATGGCCTAGCCTTAATGTCAATTTATACTGAATTGGTTGCAGATAAAGATAGGGTTAACAACGTTTTTTCAGCTTCTGGAAAGAGATGTTTAAAGTTGCTATTTAAACCTTAAATTATGATCGAATAATAATTATTATCTCTTATATTTGCAATCATTTTTTTGTGAGAAAATTTTTATAATTTTCTCTTAGAGCGGCTTATTATTTATATTTATTTTAAATGTTTAATAACTAAATTTATTTTCTATTTTGCGTACATTTCATAATCTTTGACATCTAAAATGTTAAATGTTTTAAAAAGTATTCTAAACTAAATATAATCTAAACCACTAAATTAAAAATTTATACATGTGTGTAAATTTTGTAAGTGTATGCTACAAAAAGAGTGCTCGATTATCATAAAAACAAAGATGTAATAAATTAGCTTCCTGAGGATCCTACAGATATTGAGACTTTCAAATCGTTTTTTTTAATATATATTTATATAAAGTAGTACACAATTTTAAATTAAATATTTTTTGAATATATCACAATATTATTATATCTTTAATGCAGTAATAGTTGCAGTTACTTTATCAAATTATTCTAACAAAAATATAAAGAAAAGAATCCAGAAATGGAGGGCTTTTTTTTGTCAACAATAATAATACTTTTACATTGACGCCTATTAAGAATAGGAAAGAGTTTAGAAATGGAGAGCTAACCTTAGGCAGCACTTTACACCTATGGCTTAACTTCAAGTAGGCTATTATGTTCAAGTAAGTTAGACATTGTATGTGACAGAGCACCGCGAAAGTGCATTTAAGCAGGAAGTTCACACCTCCTTCCTTACCCTGACGCGAAAGTATATCCAAAGCTCGTTTTAAACCTGGATCTTCTGCTAATAAAGCAAGCGCTGTAACCACTGCGCCACGGCCGCACATATTATAGTCAAAAACGTACATATTATAGTATTTGTAATAATAATAATAATAATAATAATAATAATAATTCTGAAGCAAAAGTCTAACTTAACTCCAATTGGATAAATCTCAGCCGGTATCTCTGGTATTGTAAATAGCCAGAGTATTTATCACGTATTATATACCGCTATTGATACCAGAATAATACGCATGTAGTTTTAAGATTTAGATTTGAGTTTAATACCACGTATTAATCTAAAATACGTATAAGTGAGCCTGGTATTGTATAAATATAAACATTTTACAGAAAAAACTAGGTTGTAGAGCGCATGCGTACACTAAAATTACTAGACCAAAATAAAATTAAACAAGAAATTCAGTGAAAAGTATTTATTTCATTTATGCAACTTTTAAAATAGTCTAAAATTTTAATCTTGTTTTAATAAAAACTTATACTTTATGGAGTAGATTAGAGTAATATTACCGCTGGTAATTTTTTGCTTTTGTTAATGTTTTTTTTGGAGCTAATTTAGGGAAGACTGAATAAGCGCAAATTTCATATATGCGAATTGGCATAAGCGCGAATTGACATATGTGCGAACTGGCATAAGTACGCAGCGTTGCAAAAACTGGTACAAATGCGAACTGGCATATGTGCAAATTGGCATAAATGCGCCAAAACATTTTACAAACATTTGCATAAGTGCGAATTGACATAAGTGCGAACTGGCATAAGTACGAATCAGTTACAAAAACTTGCACAAATGCGAACTGGCATAAATGCAAGTTGGCATAAGTGTGCTAAGCGAATTTTCAAACATCGGCATAAGTGCGAACTGGCATAAGTGCGAATTAGTATAAGTGCGAAATACTAATTTGCACTTATGCCATTATTTGAAATTTTATTCGGCGCACTTATGCCGATTCGCAGTTATGCCAGTTCGTACTTATGCCAGTTTTTGTAACTGCTTCGCACCTATGCCAGTTCGCACTTATGCCAATTCGCACTTATGCCAATGTGTGCAAAATGTTTTGGCGCACTTATGCCATTTCCCACATATGCCAGTTTGCACTTATGCTAGTTTTTGCAACGCTTCGCACTTATGCCAGTTCGCACATATGCCAATTCGCGCCTATGCAGCCTCCCGCTAATTTAAAGAGCTCATATTACGAAGTGGTCTGGGTAGTATGAGCAATTTGTTACTTTTTAAAAACCTCTTTGTCTTTAAGAAAATTTTTTGCATGCCAAAGTATCTAAGTGGATCATGAATAGAGATCTCTAAAAATTGTTTATTCACAAAAAATGTTGGATCCAGTTTAACTGTTTTTGAAAATATTCCAATTTTTGCTTAAGATGCTCATATAGCCCCAATTTACCCTAACTATATTCTGTCAGGAATATTCAGGTATACACGAGAAGCTACATGAAAAGTCTTCATATAGCTTTTGTGATATATGTGAAATGTTCTAGCAGAACGATATCTCTTCAGAAGAGATATTTTGCTAAAGCATTTTACATGTATCAATTCTTTTTTTATAAATATAATATTACATAAAATAATATATAGTTGATATTATATTATTATTTTATAAATTATCAAGTTCATTAATATAATAACTTATTTTTATATTACTATTAATTTTTTATATTTATATTTCATCTTCATAATATATTGTTTGCAATATCTTTTTTAGTTAAGATGTGACGGGAGCATGCAGAAGACAAAAGTTTTCTTGTCCCCGTTTTATCATTTCCTTATTAAGCATAATATCAGTATTTGCAATACTGAGGCTCAAATTAAGTAACTGTTTTTTAAGATACTTTAAAAGTTTAAATTATAATGGTAGTTTTACTATTATTTTTGAGAAATGAGTTCCACAAATATGGCCCTCGGTAAGTAACGAATGCTTTGTTTGATATTTATGATCTATAATAAAGTAAAGGTCTTTAAAAATATTAGGCAGCATATGATGTTTTAATCTAAACATAAATAAAAGAATATTATAAATTTAATTGGTAAACATTCAGCACTCCAAGCTTTCTAAGCAGTGGATTGGCAGTGGTGTATTTATTAGCGTTTAATATAAAACGGTTTGCTTGTTTTTTTTTGTTTTTTTTTTAAGATGCACGTTAGTGGATAAACGTTAGTCTAAACGGATAAGTAGTTGCCCAGGCAATGTTACAATAACTAATATAGCAATGAATAAATGAAAAGTAAATAAATTTTAAACAGTTTTTATCCAACATATATCTAGTTTTATACATAATTCCAATACTTTATGAAATTTTATTTTCTATTAAATAAATATGCTCTTTCCAACTTATTTGCTCATCGAATAAAACGCCTAAGAAGTTAACACCGAATGTCCGTTTCAACTTGGTTTTTCAATTTAAATATCCGGGAGTTTTTAAGGGCAATGGATCAAATTTGAAAGGTTTA